AAAAAGGATTTCATTTTTACTTTTTTTTTCTATAAGATATATATGACAAATTTTTTAGAGTATCTATTTATAGATATTATTGTATTATTAAAAAAATATTTTTTCTTTTAGCAATTGATTGTAATATTTTATATCTTATATTTGTTAATATAATTTATGAGTAATATTTCTCCACATATTCTCCACATATATATTATATATATATATATTATATATATAATATAAATATGCACAAACCATTTTCCAACGATATGATTTACATTTTAATTACAAATCTTTTATAAATTCATGCACACCATTCCAACGATTATGATTTTACATTTTAATTACAAATCTTTATAAATCTCATAGGTAAGATTCACTTGGAGATGTAGTTCGCTACTATTGATTCCATTGATGGTTAAGCTAATAATTCAATATCGTATAATGAGGACATAAAGAATAGAAAAACATTAAATAATTTTTAAATAGTGACTCCTATAATATTAATAAAAAATTTAGTTTTAATGCACATGAAAAGATTAAAGATAACTTATACTAATTACAAGAAAAAAAATTTACTACAAAAATCTTCTATAGGGTGCCATTAAGGCTATAAATTAGTCAAGACATTCATAAGCTAATCGAGATTGAACTTTATAAAAATTTGCTTGAACTTGTTTGAAAGCTTATCGAGCTGAGTTCGAATCGAGTTACTAATCACTTTTAATAAATAAGTTGAGATTAGCTCGTGAATTGGCTTGGAAGTCAATTTTATTGAGTCAAATTCACGAGCTATATCGTGAGTTTATACTTTATTGAGCTGAGCTAAGTTGAACTCATAAGCTAGTTCAACAAGTTAAGATTAATTAAATCTATATTAAAACGGCGTCATTTGGTTTGATAATCAACAAGTTAAGATTAATTAAACCTATATTAAAACAATGTGATTTTGCTTTGATAGATTATAAGCTTGATTTCGAGCTTTACTTGTTTATAATTATCAAGTTGAACCCAAATTAAATTTGAGCTTAGCTATTTTTAAACAAATCGAATTTAAATTTAGATTTTCAAACTGAACCGTCTCCGAGCTTACTAAGGTTCAGCTCAACTTAGCTGGTTACAACTGTAAGGGTCATCGTCACAATGTGTAATGCCAATTTCAAAGAGAGGATTCAGACAAAATCTTATAGAATTGCCATGTGTAATGTTGTCAAGTTAAGATTCAGGTTGTTGCTTTCTTGTACTGATAAAATTATTGGCTGACAAGCAAAATTTACCTTAAAACAGATAGCATGTACAAGAGTACCCACATGTTATTAATTGTGGACAATAGTCCATTTTAGCTTTATATATATATATCTTTTCAGAAAAGGAAAAAAAAAAAATTACTTTGGGTCAATCAAACCTTGTCCAACTTGTTTTGGCAGCCTTTGTTACTTTAATAGACTATTTAAAAAAAAAAAAAAAAAAACTTAATTTGTGAAATGGAGGGCCTGAATTGACTGCTCCCAACTTCAAAAAGAAAAAATGAATTATACCTACTTGACTTCATGGTAAATCAAAACACTGCAAGTTCATTTTCATATATTCACCTGTGTCTATAACCAAAATAAAAGATAAAAATTTTATTACAAAAGCAACTACATAATTTGTCATTTTGATTCCATAAACTTGACCTTGTACTTTCCGCGATTGTCTTTGTGGCTTCTTAAATTTTGCAAAAAATCTATTTTGATCCTATATTTTCACATTTCAATAATAATTATACCCTTAACCAAAATGATACATGGAATTGTAGGGTCATAATTGAACTCCAGCAACAATATTTCATTTTGGCGTAAAACATAATTATTACTGAAATATAAAATTGCAGAATTATAAAGAGACCACAAAAATAATCGACCAAAAGTCATAGTTAAATTTATGCGTCACGCCTTTTTACTTCCAGTGGCATAATGTCACTATTATCTCTAGAGCAATCAATTTTTCATATGGTGAAAATATCTAAAAACAACAAAATCATCAGAATCAAAAACTCCTAGTATCTTGCATTATGAAATAAATACTCCATTATTGAATTATTTGCTCAATATATAGCATATGCTTATGCATCATGTAATACAATTTATTTTTCCTTCAATAAATTATTATTATTCTTCTTTCTTGTGGACACATTTGTCTTGCATCAAATGATATTTTACATGGTGACTAATTTTATTATTTTACAAGCTTTTGATTAATCTAATATCACGCATATGCCCTTATCCATATATAGTGCAAATTGCAAAGGGATAAATAAGCACTTAACTATAAATTAATATTTACGAAGAAACAAATTAAAGACTGCCATATGATATCCAAACACAGATTTAACTTGGTTTCTTTTTCTTGGAATCTTGTTCTTTGATTATCTGTTCACATAATATGACCCCACAAAGGAATTTTAGAGAAGGGAAGTTATTCTATAGTGGGGGATCACCTAAACTCAATATATTTTATTATTGAAGCTAAAGAAATAGAATATTCAAAACTCTATTAGAATATATGAACATTTTCAGGCTGTATCATTTGCTGCCTCCAAGATTCGTCAAGACTTTTATGATTTAATATTTGTTATTATAGTCTAAAGTGGGATTCAACATAAAGAAACTAATTAAACTTAAGATGCTGCCACATTGTAGTTTTGATCATGGTAGCATATATTTTATGATAAAGGTAGTTTAGGTGCTTAGATGGAGATTGAGACATGGTTCTTTAGTTAATGTTTTATAGGTCATGAAATAACATTGTCTTGATTATCTTGAAGAGGTACTTATTCTTTATATCACATGGATGATTTCACATTTTATGTGTAATTAATCAGGGAGATACGATGAAAATATTACTCTGGAAGCTATTATATAGATTTAATGGTTTGTGAGTCGAGAGAGTATGTTCTGGTCATATTTAATGCTGAATTTTATTTATCTGTTTTGCTAGTTAGTTATTTATTTTCGGCATTTTTAGATCTATCTCTAAAGACTGTTTGGTAAAATTAGTTGTTTTGGTACGTGTTAATTATTTGAGTAGTTTTTCATAAATCACTAAAAGGTTAACTTTTTATGAAAAGTTATTTTAATCTCTAAAAGTTAGTTCAAATGCTATGTTACCGAGCATTACAAAAAATTATTAGCGTTTTTGCTTAAAAAAAAACTATTGTTGAATACAACTCTAATTAGATTGAAAAGGTAGATTGAAATTTAGCAAGGGGCATAATTTGAAATTAAAACACAATAAGCTAAAAGTGACAAATGGGGTTTTGGCAGCCAAAACACCAATCAAAGTGTAATTATTAGCTGTTGGACTGCAGTAGCTAATTGCAATCACTAATCCGAAATAGGCATGCAATGTTCAATCTGTCCAAAGGAAAATATTACAACCCAGTAGCTTTTAGATGCAGAAATAAGCATTTTAAATGGTCTTTAAAGGACAAGAAAGAAGAAGTAGAGGCTTTCTTTCTTTCGTTCTTTCTTTACTAGTATGACTATCTGTTCCATTGACATTTCTACAGTTGATTATTGACAGAGGACAAGACCCACCAAAGGCTCTTTCAGCTATGGGGAATTAAATTAAAGGAGCTGTCTCTAGCCTTGACAAGATAATACATACCAATGACTCACAGAAAGAAAATAGGAAAGCGACAATATCATCATCACCACAAGATCAAAGAAGAATCTGCATAGAGTTTTTCTAGCCTAGTTTCAGTTTAAATCAAAAACAGAATATATTATTAAAATTGAGCCTGAGATGGGATTTTATTTAGGTACTTGATGTTAACAAATTAAATATAATTTCATTCTAACTTATTAATGGACCCTCCATACTCACATTTAAGTGCTTAATGAGTCATCTAAATTGTAATTAATTACAGTTAATTACCTTTTACACTGAACTTCCTTGCGTCACTAACCATAATAAGGTTTTTTTGGCTGATAGAGTTCTGAACTTCTTCTCCAGGCTCCTAAGTTAAGCCCTCCCCTGAAATTGACTTTATCATCACTTTTCTTCCTCTTCTTCTTTTGCTTCCTCTCCCACATCATCAACCTTTTCTCTCATGCCTTAGCCAAATGATTATCCAAATATCGATTTTTATATTATTGACATACATAATAGTAACATAAACATTCATATCCATTCCATTACAAATGCTTTTAAGAAAGTAGTGAGTGGATATATATATATATATTTCAAATCCAAAAAAAAAAAAAAAAAAATTGACATACATATATTAACATAAACATTCATATCCATTCCATTACAAATGGCTTTTAAGAAGAGTAGTGAGTGGATATATATATTGATATAGTTTTTCAACAATCCAAAAAAAAAAAAAAAAAAAAAGGTATTATGCATACATACAGATGCAGATTTCTTTTAAGTGAATTCATAATAATACATACTATAAACACACACACAGTAGAAATACACTCTTTTTTCCTAAAGAAATTCTGCTTCATAGTTAATAGCAAATTAATCTTATACTTGATATAATTGGCCCACTTAAATAGCCGCTGTTTTTACTTTCTATTATAATTCCTTCCACATCCTCTACGCCATCTTCCCCTACCCAAGAACACTCTCCTAAGTCTCATACCAACCAAAAAAAAAAAAAAAAAAATATCAAAACTCCTGAAATAAATATACCTCCAAAGCCATGATTCACGGTGAGATTACAGGAATTCATCTTATTTTCGCCTGGTAAAATCCCTAATTCCATTCTAATGTTATGTTCTACCATATCAGAAACAACATTTCCAATGCTTCCATCTCAATCACACGCTATTGACAAAAGACTGTTTCATCAGACTCTCCATTTCCTCAAGCCTGTTTCAGGATCTTTCCTACTTCAGACCTTCAAACCTGAGCAACAACTCAAACTTCTGATTGAAGCTGGAAGAAAGAAACCCAACTCAGCATAATTAGACGGAAAGGAAAACAGCGGAAGAATGATTCGAACCAGGGGGAATCTGTCGAAAAAAAAAAAAAAAAAAAAATCAAGAACCTTGAAATAATATCCAAGCCATGATTCCAGGTGAGATTACAGGAATTCACTATTTTTCGCCGGAAAATCCAATTCCATTCTCAGGTTTTCTACATCAGAACAACATTCCAAGCTTCCATTTCAATACGCTATTGACAAACTTTCATCAGAACTCTCCATTTCCTCAACCTGTTCAGGATTTCACTACTCAGACCTCAAGCCTGAGCAACAACTCAACTTCTGATGAAGCTGAAGAAACCCAACTCAGCATAATAGACGAAAGGAAACAGCGAAGAATGATTTCGAACAGGGAATCTGCTCGAAGATCGCGAATGAGGAAACAGAAACATTTAGATGAGCTATGGTCTCAGGTTGTTCGTCTCAGAACTGAGAATCATAACCTGATGGATAAACTGAATCATGTTTCTGAATGTCATGACCGCGTTCTTCAAGAAAATGCAAGACTTAAAGAAGAAGCTTCTGATCTTCGCCAAATGCTAACTGAAATGCAAATTGGTAGTCCTTTTACTGCTACTGCTTTAAGAGATCTTGAAGAAGTAGTTCCATGCAACACAGCACACTTAAGAGCTGAAGCATCAAACCAATCCATCTCTAGTACTAATGTAGACTTGCTTCGTTAAAAAAAAATAAATAAATAAAGAGAGATGGAAATTTTCTGTAATAATTAGTTTTATTTTCCTGATGTTTATTGGTCTGAAGATATACTGTACTAGATCAGAAAAAAAGAAAAGCTGCAATAACAGCTGAGTTTTTTGATCAGTCCATTACTGAATTATGTATGAATATAGATCTTCTCGCCGCATATGCATACAGAGAAAAAAATTAAAAATTGAAAATGAAATCCATTACTACTCCATTATTGAGAGATTGAAGACTGGAATAATATTTTCAATACTTTTAATCATTTTAAGAACCCCACCAACTTTTATTAGAATTTTCATCTGAATTATATATTTGGATCATAGACTGATCGTGAACATCAAATCCCAAAGCAACAAGACTATATATACTTAATTAAATAAAGGATAATAGTACTGTATGACATGAAATTTGAAAAAAAAAAAAAAAAAAACTTTTCTCAGGTGTACTGAAATATTTTAAAGAAGAAAAGTAAATGGTTAATTATAGAAATGGTGGAGCTTGTCAAGACCAGCTCCATTCATGGTTAGGCAAAGGAAGAGAGGCCCCATAGCCAGTCAAGTATTGCTTACAATAGCAAGGGGGGCAAGAAGACAAATGGTGGTGGAGGTGCTGGTGATAGTGGCTCATCATACAAATAACTAGTACAAGATGCAAAAACATTTGAAAAGGCTATCCACTAATTAATAAATCACTATTCCAATACTTCTACGACTACTATTACTATTCTTAGCTTTTTCTTGGACATGCACAAAATTTGCCCAACTTTTCTCCCCTAAAATTACATTGTTTCACCGATTCTGATGGAATCATAGCCTGATAATTTTTCATTGGCTATGATGCACGGAAACTTCTAGCCATGGGGGTTTCTGAGTTTCAAAACGTTTTCCGTGTCCATTTTCCTGTATAAAATACTGCTTTTCTATATGAAATTATATTTTAAACGTGGTTTCCCCATTTCATTTCCATTTCCGTGCAATTCATTGGTCTTTTGGCATTTTGCAGATGCAGTTTCTGCATAATATTGTTTTGTTTTGTTACTGTAGATACAAGGTTTTCATGATGGTCAGGTTTCGAGTTTGAACTCTGATGGAAGCCAAAATAGCAAAGAAAAAAGAATATTAATTATTTTCCTATTGGATAATTAAGAAATGTAATGTTCATATTATTTTATATAGTTGACTTTTTAGTATGAAATAAATCATTTTTAAGCCTCCTAGAACAAATTCAACATTTAATTTGACAAAACTTCCACTCTGGTGGACTTTGTTTCAATTCTGGTGAAGGTCTGAATCTGTTCTCCGTAAAAAGTTGTTGCAGACAATATGGATTTCTGAGTATCACATATTTTTTAAAAAACAAGAAAAAGAAAAAGTAAGTATTTATATATGCATAAATATTTATGTACACATGTTTCAAGCACTTAAATATGGTTGCTTTGGTCTGTGCTTATCTTGAACTAATGCCATGGCTAATTTGTTTTTCATTATTTTACTGGAAGTGCACAGCATATATAATATCAAAGTTGCAGTTTCAAAAAGTTGCAGCAAGGCATCATTAAGATTTAAGAGAATCATAGATTTTTATTTTATATATATAAAAAGGATTAAGTGGTCACAAACAGTTAAATCAGAATGTGCCTAACTATATTATAATAAATTTTATTTTTAGAAGGAAAGATACTTTCATTGATGGTTTAAATCAAGAACAAGAAGAGCTTCAATAGCAAAAGGAAGCTCATATCAAAGATGAAAATCAGCATAAGAACAAGATACCCTAGCTAAAGCATGAGCGATTTATTAGGGCTTAAGAGTTCTTCGGGTAAAATCCCATCAAAGAAATTTCAAGTAAATGAAAATGCTATGATAAGAAATTGCAAAACAACATAATTACCAAATTAATTATAAATAAAGACCAGAAAACAAAAACTAGTGCTTTACTTTTGTAAAGGAAGATAAAAGGAAAGGGAAAGAAGTTGGAACTAACCTCTTAGCATGTGCATGCTCTAACTACAGTTATTTTTGATATATAATTATCATGAAAGGGCAAGGGACTTTTAAGTTTTAAGTAAGGTAAACAGTAACATGTATAAAGAAACCAAAACAAAAAGAATTATAGCAAATTCCACGAGTAATTGAGTAGTAAAGAGCATCTGAAGAATTGAGGGATCCACGAGGTCATGAATTCAAGACCCTTTTAACGAAACTGTTAAACAAAAGTTTAAGATATCCTTAAACATAGTATCTAAAAAAATTATATTTTGTGGTTATTTTATCATCTAGAAATGCAATTAGATAGCCTAACAAACGAGCTCTTTCAGAGCTGTCACTATTATGTTTTGATACTCCATGTGAATTGGCCCAAGGAAAAAGTTTAATTTAATACAAGCTTTTCATGTTCTTGTACATAGGTACTTGTTTGATAAATAAGAATGAAACTGTCAAATGAAATGCATATTTTTGGAGAAGAAAGTTGCTGACCAATTATTCCCACCGCCCATCACAAAGCCACTAAGTTTTGCCTGGTTTCTTGTCGAGAACCATCCGACCTATTAGTCACCTCTATCAAGTGCTGCTATTTTTATCCCAATCACCCTTGCCTCCATCATGCACCATCAACAATTTCTTTTTCTTTGTTATTTGATTTCCCGCTAACCATGTTTATTCAAGCTTTATAATTAATGATCATCCGTGAATCTAGAACATAAAATTTGAATGAGCTAAATATAATTTTTGAATTTTATGAGATGAAATGGATTATTTTTGGAAAAATATTTAATTAGAACTAGTTTCATACGACCAAACAATGAAAACAAAATGTTTTGTTTTTATTAATTTGGTCTATGTATAGGTAAATGTTAATTAAGGTCTATATGAGTATTTCTTCAATTTTTGAAACTTCAACTATATTTCAATTTTGCACATTAAGGTATAGCCTAGTGGTAAATGCATATACGATCTAGTAATAGATCTAAATTTGAATCCTCCATTCTCCAATCTAAAAAAGAACTATATTTTTGTTTCTTTTATAGGATTTTTTTTTTCTTTTTGAATTTGAAGAGATTAATGTTAAACATTTTATTTAGGAATAAAAATTTTACCCACCCCGTCGAATACCCTTCTGAATCCTATCTATCTGAATTGATAAGTAAAACTCAATACAATAGATTTTAAAAATAAAATCCGACCCGCTTGCTAACTCGCTCCATTTATTTTTCTTTTTAAAACTCAATATATTTTTCTTTTTCTCTATTTTTTAAATAAAAATCGAGTCAAACCCGATGCATCCGTAATTGTACCATTGACATCCCTAATTATACCATTCTTTGATAATAGGGTCCAATACATCATATGTAATTAAATCTAGTCCTAATAATATATTTATGAATTTTTGCAAAAGAATATTTTAGAAAAGGCTGGAAAAAGGTCTAGTATGGACTAGATTTTTATTTTTAATTTCTAAGTCTAATCTTCTCCGGTCCAATCATTGGTTGTTGTTGCTAATTTGAGTTTAGCAGACCAACGCTAATAGGTTGGGCTAGCGCATATAAGTTTTCATTTTCACGACTTCCAATCTTGTGTATTTTTTTTCTGTAGAGCCTATTCATAATAATTTGATAAGTTTATAGAATTAAGTTATTGAATTTATTTAATAAATGAGTTAAATTCAAGCTTGGCTCATTAGATTATCGCTATGAATCGACTCACGAGCTAATTCAATAAATGAAAATTAATTAAACTTATATCATAATGACATTATTTTGATTTTGTAGATTTGGATTGATTGGTCCTGCAATTCCAGTTTAATGAATTGGCTATTCAAGACCTGGAGGGAGTGGAATAGAGAATCAGGCCCAAATCAAAAGTTCGGTTCATGCGAGAAACGATTAAACAATAACGGGTTCTTCAGGCTCTGCATTAATAATTTGCTACGACAAATAGGGTCTTGTTTAGCTGGGCTGAACATGGAGACAGCACATGCCAAACTGCTAAATTTATCCTTGATTCAGCCACCAGAGCCTGCAAAACTGGCATGTTCTCAACTTGAACATAGATTGATTTTAATCATAAGCTACACCCAAATGGCTATCTTAAATACCATCTAAATGTGCCTTTTCTAATTAATGAAACAAGATAATCTATGATGATACTTCAATTACTTCTCAAAATAATTGCACAACTTACACATTTATACTTGATCAGGGAAGAAACAAAGAACAAAGAAATAGCAGAAAAAAATCATGGTCCTCTTATGTCTTGTGTGTAAATGTAGTCTGTATGTTCAGCCATGAATCTTCTAATCAAACACTCTTCACTTTCTATACCTTCACATCCATCATAACTAATACTTGATTCCTCCTACAAAAATTTATAAAAGAGAAGCAGTTGCATAAAGCTGTGGATTCAATCCGTGAAAAAAATACTTATAAGAAGAACTAACCAAGAACTTCGAAACGAGATTACATTCATAAAAAAAAAAAATGGAATTACTGTGGAAGAAATAAGAAACTTACATGTGATGATGAAAGTTGGGGATTAGAAATGGGTCTGGTGGCGTTTGCAGTTGAGAGAATGAGCAATACCAATATGAAGAAGAAAGTTACAGTAATCTTTGCCATTTTTCTTGAATCAAAGAGTAACAGACAAAGTTGAGAAAATATAGAGAGACAAGATGAGAGGTTCATGGAACTATATCATATAATAATAGCATTGAGAAGTGAGACTCATTAGTTTAGGCCTTTAGGGTAGTGACAGAGAAGAGTGAGGTTCCATGAATGAGCACCCAAAAAGTCAAAACCCAAAGCTTTTATTATTTCTTTGTTCCTAGGAAACATCGCCATGTTTAATCAGAGACATAATTTTTCTTGAAAGACAGATTTGGTTTTGTTATTGTTGTTGAATGTTGATGATGCAACTTGTGCTACCCGTGTAATTGTTCTTCTGGTGTTTGATTAAATCACATGCTTGCTTGGCTCCACGTGACAGACACCTATGAATGTTGGAAACAAAATTTTAATTTACACTCATTTCAAATTTTAATTTCTATAAAATTGTATGGTCTATAAAATTTCACATATTGAAAAATAAGAAAGAAATAATTTGATATATAGTACTATATTGAAAAATAAAATGTATAAAGTTAAAGAGTATTTTTGAAATAAAATTAAATAGTTTAAATTTCATTATTAATAAAAATAATAATATTGAAGTACAATATAATCTATTAGTTGCAAAAATTATTGTCTATTTTCTTCAATCAAATAAAATAATTTGATAAATTCAATAAATGTTTTTGAATTAATAAAACGGATTCTAGTTTTTAAATCAAAACCGGTTTGCAAATAATGTTTGTAATAATAATAATAATAATAATAATAATAATAATAAAATTTAATTAAAAATTAGAATCAACTATATATTATAAAAAACATTCTAAAAATATCTCATATAACAACGACTTTTCAACTATTTGATTATATTTTATATTGAAATAAATATAATTATTATTGATATATTTACGTCAACATAAATATAATTATTGATTGGCATTGACACGGTGATTAACCTTTAAAATTTTATAAAATTTAGGCTTGTAGAAATTTGAGCTGTAGTAAATCTATGTTATCGATATGTATGAAAGATTCTATGCAGTTTACATCAACCACGTGGCATGATGCTTCTCAATGTGAAACACTGTGACACGACGAAGTTATTAACATCTTAAAACATCTGCTAACTTATATAATACTTATAGCATCTAAAAAAATAATTTATTTTAAAATATTTACTATATTTATAGTTTAGTTTTAAAGGGTAATAAATATTTTTTTATATTTATTTTTTATATATGACCAATAATTATTATCTTAATTTAATAATTTTATTAAATTAAGGGTAATATAATTAATTTATTCAATAATTTATTATAACTTAGACACATTTAATGATTTTCTTAAGAAATGTGAAATTTCAAATGCGACAAGTATTACGAAACAGATTTAGTATAATATATATAAAATACGAATGAAGAGAATATTGGGTTTCTAAAACGCTCCTACTAAATTTATGGATCGACAAAAATATCATTACTAATCCTATTCTAATTATGATATCAATTTATTATTTTTATTATATTAATATTGTAAATTTAATCTCATTCTAATTATATGTGATCAGATGACGGTATTGAAAGATCATTCTATGGCAGTTTGACATCAAGCCATCGATGGCAATGAATGCTGTCTTCCAAGTAGTGAAAACAGCTGTAGCACGAACGAAGTATAGTTAAACATCATTAAAACATCCATGCTAACTAATAGGATTAAATTACTTAATACAAATCTAGAAAAAAAATACTGAATATAGTTTGTATTAGTTAATTGAAATCTGTATTCTCTTGACAATTAATACATGCAAAATGTTAGTTAATTTACTTTAGCAACGGATAAAAATTCTATTGCTAATCTGTATAAAAATACAAACGAGGGACAATGAGTTCCCAAAACGCCCCTATGAACTTTTGATTTAATTGGTTAATTAAAAATATCATCAAGGATAATTTAGTCACATTCTAATTATGAAAATTTAATTTTATTAGTTGAAAAATAAAAGTAGTTTAACTTTGATTAGTTGTGTTAATTTCCTATTTGAATCTAAATTCTATTATGAAGTTTAATCTAATTCTTAATAGAAGATTATCCAATTAATACTTTAATAATTTATTGGTTGATTCGGAATTTAATATCATTAATGTTAAATTATCCAATTTAATATTATAAATTCAATCTTATTCTAATTAGAATTTGTCCTTTAATATCATTCTAATTAGATATATATATATATACCATATATAGTTTTATAGTTTTAATTGCTTTTTTGGCTTCAAGAATATATATAGTTTTATAGTTTTAATTGCTTTTGGCTATCAAGAATTTGTTACTTTTGCCTATCAAAAATTGTTACATCAAGCTTTTGCTAATTTGAAATTATTGAATTTGTAGTCATATTTTCTTCTTGCAGTAAGTATAACTTTAATTCTCTCTCTATTTACAAATTAATAGAATAGTTTTTATTTATAATTTTTATAATTTATATTTATAGATTAATTGTAATTGTTTAGTAATCGTGAATAATTACAAGCTTATAAGCTTTCCCTTCTAAATAGTATTATCATGCAATATTTTAAAGTGATGGACACTCTAATTAGAAAAATTTAATTTTACTTATCGATTAAAATTATATAATAATTTTAATTAGATTGATTATATTAGTTTCCTTGATTTTATTATTTTTACTAACTAACAAATCTTGTTTCATTACTTTTCCGTTGCTAAAAGTTTACAAAGGGTTCTACAAACGTTTTAGAAACGGAATATTTCCGTTTCTAAAGTTATATCACAATAGTTTTCTGTTGCCGGAGTCCACAGACGAGTTAGCAACCCAATTAATTTCCGTTGGTAAATTTGTAACCAAAATTCAAAAGCTATTGTCACTGCAAATCTCTTATTCGCCACATCCTATGGTATGCTATATATATATATATAAGTGCGAATGAGGGGGGAATATTAGATTCTTAAAATGCCCCTATAAACTTTTAGTTTTATTGATTAATTAAAGAATAATTTAGTCTTATTCTAATTAGAAACCTCTTAATTTTATTGGTATTTTATGAGTTGATTAATTAAAAATATCATTAAAAATAATTTATTTCTCTATACGCCAACTATCAGCTATGGTATGCCAATAATTATATATATATTAAAGTGCGAATGAGGGGGCGAATATTTAGATTCTTAAAAATTGCCCCTATAAAATTAAGTTTATTGATTAATTAAGAATAATTTAGTCTTATTCGAATAATTTAGTCTTATTCTAATTAGAAACCTCTTAATTTTATTGGTATTTTATGAGTTGATTAATTAAAAATATCATTAAAAATAATTTATTCCTATTATAATTAGGAAATTTTTGAAATTTCTATACATGTAAAAATACTATGATTTAATATCTTATAATTTAAATATATATAATATTAAATTTATTAATCCCGGTGACTCTTTTTTTATTAATATTATAAATTTAATCTCATTCTAATTAGAAATTTGACTGTAATTGTAATATTAAAAGTACAAATGAGGGAAAAATGTTGGGTTCCTAAAACGCCTTTGTAAACTTTTAATTTTATTGGTTAATTGAAGAATAATTTAGCCTTATTCTAATTAGAAAACTCTTAATTTTATTGGTATTTTATTAGTTGATTAATTAAAAATATCGTTAAAAATAATTTAGTCATATTCTAATTAGGTCATATTCTAATTAGAAAATTTTTGAAATTCCTATACATATAAAAAAACTATGATTTAATATCTTATAATTTAAATATATTATATTAAATTTATTAATCCCAGTGACTCTTTTTTTATTAATATTATAAATTTAATCTCATTCTAATTAGGAATTTGACTGTAACTGTAATATTAAAAGTGCAAATGAGGAGAAAACATTGGGTTGTTAAAACAATCTTACTAAATTTATGAATTGGCAAAAATATCATTACTAATCCTACTCTAATTATGATTTCAATTTATTATTTTTATTATGTTAATATTATAAATTTAACCCCACTCTAATTAGGATTTTGTCCTATCATACCATTATATAGACGTTTGGTTTTAATTGCTTTGAATTTTGACTATCAAGAATTTGTTATTCTTGACTGTCACGAATTTATTGATTTTGACTATCAATAATTATTGCATCAAGTTTTGCTAATTTGGAATCATTGAGTTTGTAATCATGTCTTTTTCTTGCGATAAGTATAATTTTAACTTTCTCTATTTATAAATGATAGAATAATTTTTATTTATATTTAATAAGTATGTTCTAGCAATTATAAGAAGTTTAATCAATTCTAAATAGGAAATTATTGAAGATTTTAATTTTGTTGGTTGAAAAATAAAGCTAATTTAATTATTAAGGGTTTTAATTTCCTATTTTATATATATGTGTGTGGGGGGTAAGAATATAAAACTTTAAGAATTTTAATTTTATTGATTGAAAATTAAAGCTAATTTAATTATTAAGGATGTAAATTTTCTATTTAAATATAACTTTTATTGGATAAAATAATAAATTATATTAATAAGTATATTATATATTAATATAGATAATATATTATATAAGATATATATGGTAAGACTATAAAACTTTAAGAATTTTAATTTTATTGGCTGAAAAGATAAAGATAAATTTTTTTTAGATAAATAAATCCATTAGTTCGAAAAAAAGTAGGGAATAAATATCATTGAATTTTATGAATATAGTTTGTATTATTTAATTGAAATTTGTATTCTCTTGACAATTAATACATGCAAAATATTAACTAATATTAAATAATATTTGAATTAATACAAAATGTAATAAACTAGTCAAATATATAAGATTCTTAATAATAATAAATTAATTAAATAAACTATATGTATTTTATTAATATTAAATCAAATATATATTAGAAAATAATAATAAATTAATTAAATAAACTATATGTATTTTATTAATATTAAATCAAATATATATTAGAAATCATAGTCGAAAACTTCTATCCAATCTTAATTAAGAATGAAAATCGTATTTTAGAAGTTTTGATTGAAGCCAATAATAAACCAATTATATTTATAATTTTATTGCAAAAGGACTTAATTATTTTATATTAAAAATCTCAAACTAATTAAATTTCTAAATTATAAATTAAAATTATTTTCTTTTCTTCGTATTTTCTTTTATTTGCTTTGCTAATATTATTAGCTACATTTTGCCTTATCATTCTCTTGAATAATATTAATTATTTTATCATTAATCTACTAAGTAAATTTCTCGATCAAATTTCAATTAGTATAAATTTATTAATTTTTTAAAGAAATTATTTAAATC